GTATGTATGTATGTATGTATGTATGTATGACATTTTCCTCATCACGAGTACATCAAATGTGAATTGAAATACATTAACATTTGCCTCAAAAGGTTTGTCTTACAATACACATTTATATAAATATTTATTAAGAAACACAATAAATTATCATAAGTTTATACATTTAAAATTTGAGAGTTATAAGGATTTAAAAAGATTATGGACATATAAATTTAGAGCCTAAGATTCTGTGGTCAAGAATTGATCTCTTGAACATGACTAACTAAAAAGCAAGAAAAAATCAATATACATAATTCATAAGATTTTCCTCTATCATGAGTACATCAAATATGAATTAGAATACAATAACATTTGCTTAAAAAAGGATTGCCTTACAATACACATTTATTTAGATATTCATTGAGAGACACAATAAATTTATCATGATAAGTTTATACATTTAAAATTTGAGAGTTATAAGGAGTTATAGAGATTATAGAAATATAAGTTATGAAGATAAAGAGATACGTATTTCTTAGTTTAAGAAAGGAAAATTAATGATATTAATTTTAGGGAATGCTAAATTCAAAATTTCAATTATGTTTGTAAGATTAGTTTCTCCCTTATCTATTTAATAGGAGAAAATGAAAAGGTAAGAAACTTAAAATGTTATTAATAACAAATTACAATAAAAAAAGTTCTCTAATCGAAATTAATTTTATTAGTCACAGATTTACATATATTCTCATATGGTTTCATTACTAAGTTAAAAATACAAACTTTATATGTTTAATTAAAACAACATCAATGTAGTGTATTCTTACAAATTGATACCGGGCGTGCTCAATTAGAATATATCATTAAAAATATTCAATACTAAAAGAAATATTTATTCATTTATTTTGTGATTGATTACTAATATAATAGACCATATCATATATTTTTAGGGACAAAAATATTCAGTAGATATTAAAAAAGTGTACCATAGATAATTAATTCAGCCATGAAAAAATCTAAAATATTAATTAGATAGAAATATATATATATATATATATATATATACACACACACACACACACACACACATATTATGCATCTTTTCATCTTCAACAACAACAACAATGAATGGAATAATCATTTTTTTGTTCAAAATGAAGAAATAAAATAAAAGAGAACAATATAATATTAGTTGAAATCAAAATAGTACAACAATAAATATTCAAAATGTTTGAAAATCAATCAAACTTTTATACTACTACAACTCTCTATGCATGAATCTCCAAGATAATTAAGTTTCTTTCTTCATTTTGTTGAACTTGTACCAAATAATGTGATGAATCTTTCAAGAATATACCAATGATCTTTATCAAAGTGAATATCATATCGTGACATCATCTTTTCTATATCATCTTTTTTGATTACTTAACTACATGATTGATGAAGAAAAAGATGAAGAAAATAAAATTAAAAGATTATACTACTAAAAAGAAAGAATGAAAAAATGGAAATGAACATGCAACATCTCCATAGATGATTGACATTTATAGATAAAATAAGTCATAAAAATGATTAAAGGGGAATCGAAAAGACATGCTATTGAAGTAGAGAATGTCAATAGATGAGTTTTTTTGGCAACTCATTTCATATGATTACAATATTATATATGATTGAATTTTATAATTAATAAAAAAAATTATGAAAAGAATAAAAAAAAGACAAAAAAAAAAAGAAGAAGAAACAAATGGAGGCCATATAGAGGTGCCACATAAACGGTTTTGGATTCAAATTTATGTATATATATTGATTGATTGATCACGGAAGCTGAAGGTTCATTATTTGTAAATGTTTGATTAAAAAAAAACAAAAAAAAAGTTGATAGAAGTGGTAAGAAATTGGACTATGGAATTACGAGTGTTGTGGTGGAATAGAATACAAGAATTTAGTTTGAGCCTGTTTGGATTAAGTAATTTTAAAAGTGCTGAAATTTATTTTTAAAATAAGTAGTTATATGTTTATATTAAAGTAGTGTTGTTAAAAGAAAAATTGTTGATGTGTTTGGTAAATAAGTGCTGATAGATATTTTTTTATCAAATTGTCTGGAATACCCTTAAAGCTGTTAACATGATAAAAAGTTCATTAATTTAAGGTTTTTATCCTTAAAAAAATAAAATAAAATAAATTTATATTCTACAACCATAAGTAATAATATTTTCTATCGTTCACATATTTTTTGACCAACTTTT